AGCCTGGGTCCCTCTCCCTTCCCTGTAGAGGTGTCTGATGGTGCGTAGGGTCACTTGCCCCCGCAACTCACCTCCCACCTGAGGAGGCAGCGGCTCTCCTAAGAAGCTCCTCTTCCCCCCAAGAGCCCATCCCCTGCTGGCGGCAGCCCAGCGTCGCTGTTAGGGCCCCCTTTATCTCCTTCGCACCAGCAGGGATGTACCCCCTCCCACCCTGCACTGGCAGACCCTGATGGCGGCATCTGTCCCATTTCCACCAGGTCCTGGGCTGCCTACAGGACTGAGAGACTGAGAGGCTGCTCCTCTGAGAATCAGCCGGTGTCCCACCCCCAGAGGGACACAGGCCACCCTGGTGGGGGTTGGCGTGTCCGATAGCGGAGCCTCTGAAAGGACAGTATTGGACCCACAGTGAGAGTGGTCTCCGGCGTCAGAGTCCAGGGCAGCGCCCGAGTCTGTTGAAGAAGCCTCAGCCTCAGAGGGCCGCCTGGCCCAGTGTCTGCACTGAGGCCCCGAGAGAAGCCTGTAGACCCTGGGGACAGCTCGTCTCCCACTGGCTGCCGTGGCTCATGGTTGTGGCCTGCCTCGTGTGACTGTTTTCTTTTCGGTCCTGGGAGCAGATGTTGTTTCTCCTCCCTGTAGATGAGGAGACAGAAATTCAGAGAGTGACTCACCCCAGGCCACCCGGTTAGGAGAGACACTTAGCTTGCTCCGGGTTTCCCCCCAGAGCCGGGACTGCCCACCTGGCCACACAGACACGTCCGTTAGACGCCTCTAGAGAGACTCGGTTTATGACAATGTCTCCTGCGAGCCGTGAGCACCTGGCGGACGTCATGCTGCGTGAAATAAGCCGGTCGCAGGGACAGACACGGCATGGTGCCACTCCCATGAGGTCCCTGGAGCAGTGGGTTCACAGAGACAGAAAGAGGAGCGGAGGTGGTGGGGCTGGGGAGAGGGCCTGGGGAGCTGCTTTTCAGTTGATACAAGTTCCGGCTGGGGAGGATGAAGCGGTTTCGGGGCAGCACGGCAGTGCTGGGTGCCCCCCACGGCCTGTACGCTTCGCCCTGGAAATTCACTAAGACGGAACATTTTTTGTAATGTACATCTTACTACAAGGTGTTTTTCAAACACGTTCCCACTGGTTTGAACCACAGGAGGTACATGCATGGCTGTCTCATCGAGCAGTTGTGCCAGCCAGGGGACTGTCCCGTGCTGCCCAATGGGACAGTCATGCATGTGCCATCAGTGGTTCAGAGCCAGCCAGCGCCGAGACAGACAAATGACAGCCTCGCTGTGAATGTGTTAATCTGGGGAAGAACAAAGGCTCTCGGCTCTGCTGGGTTTCCTCAGGGGCTATGCAGACTGGTGTCTCCGTGGACTTGGTTTCATTACAGGGGTGCCCCCTCATCCTCCAGGTTCTGGTTAGTGTCTGAGGCACCGAGTCTCCCCGGCAGGACCCCTGAGTGGTGCACAGGGCAGGGGGAGGGGCTCCCGTGCAGCCAGCCTTCCGGTCCGGGTGTGTGGTGTGAAGTGAGCGGCTCACTGGTACCCAGGGCTTCTGAGTGTGCGGATCCTGGGCGAGTCCTGTGCCTGTGCCAGGAACTGCCTGCGGGGCCAACGCTGCCAGCTCCGCACCCTCCTCACGCTCACATGGAGCAGGAGCAAGGGCACAGGCCGGCACCAAACACCCTTCGAAACTGGTTTTCCTCATCTTCCTTTCCATGCGCAGGATCACATGCATCTCAGCTGAGTGGGCATCGGAGATGACTCCACCGTGCTGGCCTTTGGCCAGTCCAAGGAACCTGGGCCTGTGCTGTCCGTCCCCCTCTTTTTGGCTATCTCGGATGGGTCTTTAAGCCTCCTTTTGCTGGGTCCCCAGGCCCTGGAAAAACAGCCCTTCTCCCTCTCCAGGTGCCCCCTGCAGGTGGCTGTGCCTCACAGCTGCTATCAGATACCTGCTCAGACTTGGAATTTCCACTCTGAAGGATCTTTTCAGGCAAAGGAGCCAATTCATGCAGTCAGAGTTCAAATCTAAACCACAGGGCTCCTCGCTTTTCAAAGAGCTCTGTCTTTGGATGACAGTGCCCCAAAGAGCGGCAGAACCAGCTGAGCTCCAAGAGACCAAGGCAGTGGGTTAGAGCAGGCGCCGTCTGCAGACAGAGCTGACCCCAGTCTCCTTCACAAGACCTTAGACAACACCCAGGCTGGGGCCAGGCACCATTAGGGGCTCCAGAGAAAGCAAATGAATGTCCAGCCACCCCATGGCAGCCTGTTGTCCTTCTCGGGGCACTACTCCAAATCAACAGGGTTTCTGATTGCCACTGAATTTGGGTTTCAATGCCCACAGGTTGAGGAATAAACTAGTGAAGTGGGACGTGGACTTTCATCCCAACTGTGCCATTAAGTACCTTGCTAACCCTCCAGCAAGGCTTTCAATCTCAGTTTTTCTCATTTATGAAATTAGGAGAAAAGAGATCTATAAAGTATATCAATATGAGAGGAACATTGAAATGCTTGCTGGTAATGGCGCTAATTTTCTTTTTAACCCAGCAAAGTCTATGTTCAGACCTGAGCAGGGGAAAGTGAGAACATTTGCCTTGGTCCGCATGACCATAGGGAGGGTCCCTCTGGAATCCCCCGGCACATTTGGCTCTCAGCACCAGGTGGACCACATAGCAGAGCATAAGGACACAAAAGTACAGAGTAGTCACCACCTTCAAGTGTAGGGAAAGAAAATGGCGAGAAGGAGTCAGGTCTCAGGCTGAGGAGGAGCAGCTGGCGGCCTGTCTGGGTGATGAAGCGTTGTTAATGGAAAGCGCACTCAGCCTGCTGAGATGGCAGCTCCAGCCCTGCTCTCCCGGGTCCCGGGGTGAAGCCCAGTGCTGAGGAATCTGCACACCTGCGCCCTGACTGGTGAGACACAGACCCACATGCCCTGCCGGTGCGGCCAGCTACCGTGAGTCCTTGCTTCTGTAGAAATGGAAATTAAAACCACAGCACAAATTGGCAGGGGGAAAAGCTTTCACTGGAACATTAGAGGGATCATAGGAAGGGACACCGGCTTGTGTGGCTGTAAGGCACTCTTACAAGCTGGGTTCAGGCCAGCTTGCAGGGATTCGCTGGTGGACTGGGCTACCGCTGGTCATCATGTCAGCCCTGGTGTCATAGGACGACATAGCTGACGGATGGTTCTGTTCCCAAGAAAGGGTTCTCTGCTTGCGCGGTCTCAGTCACGCAGGGCTCCGCCTTTCCTGGAGTCTGGGTGTCTTAGTCCCTTGGATGGTTGCTGGGACACAGTACCCAGACCCACAGTTTAACTGGGTACTGGCGTATTTTGGCTCACGGTTTTGGTTCATGGTTGACTGGCTCCAGGGTGAAAGTTTTAAACAGTTTTAGTTCAGTTTTCCCCCTGGCAGAGGGGCCTAGTGGAGGAAAAGCTGCCTACCTCATGGCAGCCAGGAAGCAGGGAAGAAGAAAGCTGGGGAGGAGACGAACCATTCCAGGCCAGGCCCTGGGGGACCACCTCTGCCGGCCAGGCCCACCTCCCAACAGCAAGTTAGCAATAGCACTCTATAATTCAGTCATCTTCCAAAGTCATACACATGAGGTTTTTGGGACACTCTCAGTCTAAACCATCCTGCCAGCCGATCACAGCTTTAGGACAATGGCAGGGAACTTCTGGGTATGGCTGAATGTCCCTGTAAACTTCTTATCTTGGGCTTCTCAGTCTTGAAGAAGGAGGAGACCATATAAATTCAGGGCTAATCAACCCTATCTGGCTACCTGCTGAGACAGACACTCCCTAAAAGATCAACATAGCCCTAGGCAGAGCTGAGAAGGGATTTGACCCAAGGTTGTCCGGAACAAAAAATGCAAAGTGAAGGTCAAGCTTTGTTCTGCTTTTAGTTACTTCCTGGGCATCTATAGACCCAAGCGAGAAGTCAGGGCTCATAGCAAAAATGGCTTTCAAGTCCCTGACGTCCCAGAAGAAAACCCAAATCATGTTTTAGGTGAGTAGCAAGTAAAGGCCCAGGATTCTGCCTGCTTTCTGTCACTGTGCTGGTCCCTGACGATGTCGTGACTACACCAGGGGTGTGACAGGTCCCAAGGAGACTGTGAGGGTTCCCAAGGGGCAATGTGTGCATGGGTTTTGGAAACTGAAAATGAGAGGAGGTCTCACACCCCCTCCTCACCAGGAAACCCTGAGGGCCTTCCTACAAGGTCACCAAGCCCCCAGCTGGCTCCAGACTTCACCCTCCTCCTGCTCTACCCAAAAAGCAGAACTTGGCGTCAGCCATTTGAGCACCAGAGTCTGACTCTGCTTCCCAAGCCAGCTCCGCCACTGATGTGGGTGGGAGTGTGACGGTTCCTCCCCCTCCTCCTCTGTGACCTGTGGGTGACAAGGGCAACTACCTTGTGCTGATATCCCTGAAGAGCTGAGAGCGGTGCCTGGCTCCCGCAGTGAACACTAACCCATTTTTATGTTTGGTTCTTTTGACACTTGCAAAACATTGCAAACATTCTAAGGTGCTTAATGACATCCTGCAGCGTGCTGGCCCTGTGATATACAGTCTACGCGTCACTGTTGCAGGTGACGCCCCTGCGTTCCCTGCCCGTCGTGCCCTCTCCTCCCACCCAGAGGAGCCATGGGCCTGATTTGGTTTTGTCCTTCCCGTCTTTCCCTTCCCCACCCTTCCTTCTGCTAGAAACTGCTCAATAATAGGAATAAACCAGAAGCACCTTGAGGCCCGACTGCCTGGCACCTTGCTCAGGAAAGGACTTAGAGGTAGTAGCTTGTGTGAAACAAAGTCCTGCTGGACGAGCACACCCTCATCTGTCAACATTGTGTCTCAATCTTCATCTCTTTATGCTGGGAAGGTGCTCACGTTTCCAGATAGACCAGTAGGTCCAAGATAGTGGTTTTCCTATGACCAGGTCTGGCTTTGTCAGGGACCAGGAGTGGCAGCCTCACCTGCCCGCTCCTGACACCTCCTCTCCTCCTCCAGGCAGAGATGAGGCTGCAGGACCAGCAGCTGGCCAGGCAGCTCATGCGCCTGCGCGGCGACATCAACAAGCTGAAGATCGAGCAGACCTGCCGCCTGCACAGAAGGATGCTGAACGACGCCACCTACGAGCTTGAGGAGCGGGACGAGCTGTCCGACCTCTTCTGCGACTCGCCGCTGGCCTCCTCCTTCAGCCTCTCCACACCGCTCAAGCTCATCGGCGTCACCAAGATGAACATCAACTCCCGGAGATTCTCCCTCTGCTGAGGAGCCTTCGGGCGCCAGACCAGAGCTGAGGGTGGGGAAGGGAGCTACACCACCTTGGAGTTACCTCCTGGCAGCTAAAGCAGGGTTCCGGACCTGGTGGGAGGTGCTCTCAGGGACCCAACTAGGGGTCCCAGTGTCTCCACCACCGGCTCCTGTTCGGTGCACAGGCAGGGTGAGAACTGGGTTCCCAGCAGGACCCATCCCCTCCTCCCTCCGTGGCCCGTATTCCTGCGTCCTGGAGTCATTGGTGCTGTGAACTGGGGTCCCTCCGCGGGGCTCCCAGAACTTTGTTCTCACAGGAGGCTCCCCGGGGGTGTGGGAGATGAGGGACCGGTATACTAATCCTGTGCTGTTGCCACCCAAGTCCTAGCTCTAAGCAGGTGACACAGTGACTTGATAGGGACCCACCAGAACTACAACACCAAAAAGTAAAAGTGTCTCCTCAGCCAGCAGCTGGTCCAGGCTCCTGGCAGGCTTACAGCTTGGCGCTACACGGCCTTGGACATTTCTTCCAGAGTGGCCTGGACATGTGAGCACACAGTGGCCTAGCTTGGGTAGAGTGAGTCCAGATGCCCTGTCTCCCCTCACCCCCCGGCCACGTGTTCTAGTCTCAGCCACCAACACCCCTTGCACTCTCACCCACATCCCCCAGGAGCACCTGACAGGCCGGAACTGATTTCCTATGACCAAATTCTCCAGGATGGGCGCTGCTCTGAGAGTGCCACCCATATCACCTCAGTGTGTCCCACTCATTGAGTTAAGAGACATCGCCCAAGGAACCCAGTAGCCACCTCTGAGACAGACTGTGCCCGACCTAAACAACTTTCTTAGACTGTCGCTCTGCGTTGATACCTTACTGATGACAGGTGGCTTCTCATCCAAGCAGGGACCCAGTTGAGTAGGCCAAGCAGAGAGTCTGGGACGTGGCTGTCAGTGTCCCAGTGTCAGCATGGTGAGAGCTGAGCCGGTCCGGGCCTGACCCACATGGTGCCTGGGGCAACCCTAGGTCAAGAGTTTCCTAAACCTCTGAGGCATCTAGTGGAGCCCTCTGAGTAATGAGACGACTTCTTGGTGGCTATAAATAACGCCTCCCTGGATCACAGATCCATGATCTTGAACCCCAAAGATGGTGCTGGTGCTTTGTCAGGTCCACGGGCTGCCAGCCTCACTCCTCTCCATCTGCTCAGGCCCCACCCGCCCCTCTCTCTACAGTCCAGAGTACCAGGCTGGTGAGGGTGCTGGACCCAACGGCACGCGTTCCCTGGTCACCGTCACGCGGTCACCGTCACCAGGCCAACTGCACCCCACACCCCACGTTCCATCCCTGCCATGGTCTCTGTCCACATGCACCACGGCCCACCAGGGGAGAGGCTGGGTTTTCGGGGCTACGAGTGGGAAGTCGCAAATGAGTGGTCCCAAATAGCTGGCAGGGAGCACGGTGTCTTCATCGTGGTCTCGAAGAGCCGGAAAGTTTGTGTAGAATGCTTCCATCAAAGAAGGTAGGATGACATAGGGTTTCGGGTCCCCCTAAAGCCCCCAGGACCCATCCCAGGGTCCTGGCTCAGAGTCCCTTACAGCACTGCCAAGTCCTGAGCAGTGTCCCTTTCCTGTCACCTCCGTCCAGACCGTCCCAGCACCATCCCCTGATGCGCACACCCCCCCACACACCGCAGAGAAACGCAGAAGCACATCCATGTTCTGAAGAGAAAGCCTAATGGGCCAGTTTTCTTTTTAGAACTCTGCCGTTGCCGTAGGAGAAAAGCTGGCTGGAAGGAAGGCAGGTGCCTGAGGTGTGTGCAGCTGGAGAGCTTGGGGCTCAGTTAACCTGTATTTTCCTCCCTTTATTTGCTGGAAACAAACCAAGCCCCAGACACACGGTTTGGAAGAGGTTAGACGTCTCAGCTATTGTGTTCAGTTCATCCTGAGGATTTCATCTGGGGATAAGTAGGGGAGGTGGGGGGGTCAGAGAAGTGGTGGGAAAGGCAGTCTCCTACACACAGCCCGGGTCTGTTAGTTCCCACCTTCCACAGTGAGCACAGGGAGCCGGCCGAGTCGTTCTGCTCCATCTGTGAAGTCCCCATCTGTGGGCAGCAACTGCACTGGCCCCGCGTCCATGGCCAGCTCACCACGTGAAGAGGACTGTTTGTAGTTTTGCCTGTTTGCCATCTCTGTGCCAGACCCAAGGATGTAAACACAGAGCTACTGCCGCGCTACCACCAGTGGTCTTGTCCAATGCCTTCGCAGGCTCCGTAGCAATCACAGAAGCCTAGAGGGCCTGGGCCGGCTCCACCCGGCCCGGCCTCGCCCAAGACCTACCCTGTAGCAATACCAAGTGCTATTACATAATGGATGGACAATTTACAATTTTATTTTTTATGATTATGTTTCTACATTGCTGTTAGATAAAGTGAAATAAAAATATTTCAAAAGAAGATATCCACATGAAGAAGAAAGATTTACTTCCTTTTAGCTTGAGCCT